TTACCTACACAAATTGAAAGTGGAACACCTCATGACCTAGTTATTCCACTTCTGGGAATTCATCTTAAGAACTGAAACACAAATTATAAAAAATATACATGCATCTCTGTGTTCATTGTAGCATTATTTACAATAGCCAAGGTTTAGAAGCAGCCCAAGTGTGCATCAGTAGATGAGTGGATTAAAAGCTGTGGTATTTTTACACAATGAAATACTACTTGGCCATAAAAAAGACTGAAATCTTACCCTTTGCAACACATGTCTGGACCTGGAGACCATTATGCTAAGTGAAATAACCCTGGCAAAGAAAGATAAGTACTATATGATTTCCACTCATAGGTGGAATCTAATGAATAAAACAAACCAGCAAATGAAATAGAAACAGATTCATAGATAGAGGGGAGGAGGTTTGGGGCTGGGTGAAAAAGGTGAAGGATTAACCAAAAAACCCCCAACAAACAAACTCATAGACACAGACAACTGTATGGTGATTACCAGAGGAAAATGAGGGTGAGGGGAAGCAGAAGAGGATATAGGGAGGATCAAGGAGAATGGAAGGAATCTTGGTTTGTGTGGTGAACACACAATACAATATACAGATTATGTATTATAGAATTGTGCACCTGAAAACTATATAATTTGATTAGCCAGTGTCCCCCCTATAAATTCAATAAAAGGTGGGGAAAAAAGAAAAGAGTTCAGCTGAAAAATGGACAAAAGATATGAAGAGAAACGAAAGAACAGAAAGAAAAATATCTGAAAGCTTGTAAACTTATGAAAATATGTTCAATTTCTCCATCTGTGAGAAATGCAACTTAAAGTTACCACTTCTATCAGTTTGGCAAAACTTCCGTTTGACAATAACAACTTGGTAAGCACCTAAGGACATGGAGCATGGTGGAAGCACAAATTGGCATCAACCACTTTGTAGAGAAATTTGGCAAAATCTGAGATAGCTAATGATGTGCCTGCTTTATGACTCTGCAATTCTACCTCTGTGTATAACTTAGGGAATCAACCCCATAGAACAGATTAACTGGAAATAATGTGCCATTGCTAGGAGAAAAAATAGATTTAGAATTATTTCACAGAAACATGCCAAGTGGATAATAAAATGAATGAGCCAAATCTACATTTGTGAATATGGATAGATCCTGAAATTAAAATATTTAATAAGAAAAGTGAGTTGCAATGTAAAGTTTAAAGATACACATCCAAACAGATACACACGCAAAATATATACAATAACATGAATATAGAAATGCACATGAACTTTTTTTGGATGGTGGTTACTTCTGAGAAGAAAAAAGGGGGAAAAGGTTAAGTAGAGGTAAAAAAGGGACTTTGCCTGTGTCTGTACCATTTTGTTTCTTAAAAGATATGAAGCAAATATGCTAAGATATTAACATTTTAAAAATGTGGGTGGGTGAAGAGATAAATGTATTTACATTATTTTCTATAGTTTTCTATTCATACACTTCTTTTGGGCTTGTTCGAAAGGTTTCACAATAATAAAATAAAAAATAAATTTAATAATTTAAAAACTAACTCTCCTGGGTAAAGTCCTGGATTTTCTTTTAAAAATCTTTGGGAAACATTGTTGTTATATTGAGATAAACTTCCAAAAACCTTTACGTTACGTGAACAGCATCTTTTCCCAAAGTTTTATATTCAGTTATTACTGGTTTATAGTGTAATGTGTTTTGCAATTCTTCATTGTTTTTGTTAAGTCTATGTAAGATGTTTGCTTAGCTTTTTCACAAAATTATTTAGAATTTAAAGGCACAGCTTTCTGGGTCTAGTCATCTGTACATCCAGAAAGTTGGCATGTTAAGAGGATGAAACTAATGTGTGCAAATCTTAAAATATTATGGGTTTTTGTTACACAAATATCAAAATTTATTTTCAGAAAACTGTGGTTGGCAAATCTACAACCCTACCATAGAGACAGTATGACAAAAAGAAGAGGGCTTTTTAAAAGTTAAATGTTGATGTTAAGAAATTTAAACTCAAGAAATTTAACCTTAATGTAGCTGTGTTTTATCTACCTAAATGATGCTGTCTGATTAACAATACCCAATCCAGCATCAAGTAAATTCAAAAAAATCTACAACTAAATATAGGAGTTAATTTAGTAAATTCACAACTAAGTATGTATTGGTATTTTTTATATATAGATAGATGTATTTTTATTGATTTTAGAGACGGAGAGGAAGAGAGAGAGATAGAAACATCAATGATGAGAGAGAATCATCAATAAGCTGCCTCTTGTGCACCCTTCCCTGGGGATCAAGCCTGAAACCAGACATGTGCCCTGACCTGGAATCGAACCATGACATCCTGATTCAGAGGTCAAAGCTCAACCACTGAGCAGCACGGTCCAAGTTCAAATTGTTTTTTTGGGTTTCCTAGAGGAGGCTCTAGCTTTGAGGATCACTAAACTGGACCTAAGGACACCCTACTTGTCTTATCTTCCAGATTGTGTTTCTCTGTGATTTAGATCAGCTTTTTATAAAATTTTAGGAGAATTTTTGTGGCTAATAAAACATGTGCTTAATAACTTTTTTTGCATAGATAAAGGAAAGGAATCTACATCAGATTAGATCAAGAGATAGATTTTCAGAAGAAAATGACTGATATATCCTCTGGGAGCAGTGGAATGCAGACATGCTCTGTCTCTGAGTTTAAGGCATCTATGAACAATTCCACACCCACACCCACACAAAGACGCAAACAGTGGTCACAACTGCATCTCCAGAAGCTGCCTCGCTCCCGTCTCATTTCCAAAGTGCATCCACTGTTTTCCATAACATAAAATAAATCCCTCTCTTTTGCCCAGTGGTGAAAAGCTTATATAAATACTAAAATTTCAACTATCCCCTCGAGCTTTCTCTTGGCAAGCCTGCAGCTATGGGTTTGTTTGGTTATTGACATATGTTTTCTGTGTAGATCTTCCAGGCCACTTGGGCGAGCCCAGTGGTGATAAATGCACTTGTCTGGAAAATTTAGCAGACTAATCATTATAACACTCTGTTTATGAAAACTTAAATAATTAACACTCTAAATGAAAAGGCTCTATATTTGAAGTATCTCTTTTATTCTTTCAACATACATCATTTTGGTGATACATATCTCTATAAATCTTCGAAAGTCTTAGCCAGGAGATGACTTTAACAGTCATTGAAAAGAAAATATGGATGTAAAGAATTGATTAGTGCAAGACATTTAATCTTGCATTGTGGTGTTCCCATGAAGGAATATTTTTCAATATTTGGGAGTGAAATATTTTATTGTGTACTAAATAGGGATAATTAACATTACTAATCTGTAATTAAAATTTATAATGAAAAATCTTTGTTTCTCATAATGGAGAGAAATGGGGAGGCATTATATTTAAAGACAATAATCAAGACATTCTCTAGCTGTTTGTAGAATAAGTGGCTGCATGAATAGGATCAATTACATTCCTAAAATGTAATATTACCTACATAAAAAATTAATCAGATTCTTATTTATATGGAAATTTTAATGTAAAATAATAATGTAAATTATTTTATATAAATATGTAAACATTATAGTTCATGTAGTAGTCTATCTTTTAGAGAATACATTAATTCAAACTTTGTTTTTTTTTCTTTCTTTGTAGCTACTAGAAGGCAATCAGAGAAATGTCTTCAAAGTATTGATAGTGTTTTTACACTTTTTTCTATATGGAAGAAGTCCATTTCTCTAATATAATTTTCCATGGAATCTGTAGATCTGAGATGAATTCTAGCTGTGTATAAGAGCGCTGAGTAGAAGTCCTTGAATACTAAACATTTCTACTCTATTTGCACTAGTGAAGTAATTTACTTGCTGCCAGTAATCTACCTTAGCTAATGCTTTTAAAAAACCTTTCACCTCGATTGTTACTTTAAAAATAATTTGCTATTTTAACAATTAGCAGTTCTAAAGTTCTTCATATATACAAACTATGAATGTCTTTGAGGATCCAAGTCTGTTCTGTCCTTTTTTAAAAGAGAAGAAATATAAAACAGTAAATTTCATTAATGAATTAGGTTCCCTTTTTTTCCTTATAGAGAAAATGAAGAGTATCAAATAAGCATTTATGCCTATGAACTCCAATTTTATGTTATACTAAAAACAAAACAAAGGTAAAAGACTTTAATGAATTTGAGTGTTGTTGGCTAACCTGAGATATCTGTCTTTATAAGTAATGTCTAATTTTTTTCTGGTTATTAAGTCACAGTATGGATAAATAAGTAACTGAGATTATTTTTAGTAATGCTTATGGCTATTAATTCTGATGCACTCTGAATGTAATGGTGATAAAACATGTACCTTTCTTTTAAAACAACCACATTAGTTTATTTTTTTGTTTTGAGGAGTAATATAGTATATCAGTCTCTATGCCTGAGACCTAAAAAATACTTTGCCCAGTAATATGATATTCTCAAAATTGCAATATTATTTTTATAAGGAATTCAATGACACATTGAAACAATACAATTTTTTCACATTATCTCTCTTCTCCAAGGGAATCTCTGTTAAAAAGTACATAAGGACAGAAATAGGAGGAATCATGGATTTTCAACAATTCTACCTGGTTGGCTACAATGCAATTTAAGCCATTTCATATAGGCAACATTCTCTCAAAACTAGGAGCAAAGAAACTAGAAAACACTGCCATTACTGGTTGCTGCAAAAGAGGGTCACATGAGAAATAAAGTTGTTACCTTTTCTAAAAAAAATATATTTTCATTCATTTCAGAGAGGAATGGAGATGGAGAGAGAAATAGAAATATCAATGATGAGAAAATCATCCATAGGCCACCTCCCGCATACCCCCCAACCAGGGATTGAGCCCGAAACTCAGGCATGTGCCCTAACTGGGAATCGAACCATGATCTCCTGGTTTATAGGTTGATGCTCAACCACTAGCACACTGGCTGGACACCTTTTAGAGTATAAAAATGCATCTTTTTTTGGTCTCTTTCTAGGTTTGAAGAAGAAACGACCAGCAAGTGGTTACACCTCTTTGAAGGCAGTAAAGTCCCCTATGGCCCAATAAACAATATGAAGAATCTATTTGCAGAACCTCAGGTTTGCTTTTTGAAGTTTTTATTACACCATGATTAAAACAAAAATTTGCTTTTGTTTTCTATCCAGATTGATTCATATGAATATAAATTAGTCATTAGTCTTACACTTTAATCACATAACTTGATATTTTACTGTTATGTTAAACTATGGGTATGAAATAGAAATAATTAGAATTTAAAATGGGCTGTCTACAATCATAATTTTATGTTTACCAGATCTAACATATTTCTTCAGCCGCCACTACATAAAATTTCCAAGGTCAGGACATTTTTTTTTCCTGAAAAATAGAAATATAGACCACTGAGAGGTTGGGGTCAGACATTCAGAAAACATCCTCTGTAAAAAGAAATATGAGAACTTTCACAGTTACAGCCTATTTCTCATAATATGGCTCTCTTAAACTATACAAAGCAAGGCATAGCTAATTTCGCAAATGAGAGGCTTTTATATGCTTTGATTAATGTGTGTTATTCATGAAGAATAAATTGTACTTGAATAGAGATTTGTGCTCTACCTTGATACAGGCTCCTTAGTGGGGCCCAGGAAAAAGGGTCAACTGAAAAAAACACACACAGTTCTTCTATAATATTGTTTAAATGGTTATTTTTAGATAGTGTCAAAATAATGTTTTTATTTTAATCAATATCATGGCAAGCTATTTATCATTTCTGAGATTCATATATTAATCCCAAAAGCTAGAAGAACTTCATTTCTCTGGGAAGGTTTCACTGTGACTATTTCTATATCTTGTCAGTTTTCAAAGTTTTGAATTTCTAGAGTTTTAAAAATTCTTTTGATTTATATTATGAAAGATCTTTGAAATGAATTGTTGAAAATGGAATACACGTTTTAAGCTAAGAGAACTTTGTTGAAAACTGACCTAACCCTTTACTTTGGTACCTTTATCTTACATGAATATGTATATATATATGTTCATGTAATATATAATGTATACATATATACATTTTCATATATATATATGAAAATGTTATATACATTTTCATATATATATATGAAAATGTCATGATTTAATTCAATGTTTACAATATTTACTGAAGGAAAAAAGTGAATGAATTCAGGAATTCTGCTCGTGCTATTTTTCAGCCAAGATTGTGAGTAAGGCAAGGCTTGGTCAATAAGTATTTGAAATGAGGGATCCCACTTGATACTCACTGTGTTTATGTGAAAGGGTCCCACCACATCAGCAAATTAATTCCTTGTGATTCCTTGTGGTGAGGTAGCAGCGTACACACTCTGGAAGTAGTAGACCAGACGCCCCATCTTCTTACTTCATAACCTTGAATGAAAGGCAAATCTTTGGCTTTATGCTGTACTGGGGCTGGGGGGTTGGAGGTAGGGGAAGGGGGATGGTTGGTTTTTATTGTTACTTTTCTGCTTAAAGCTGATACAAAGCTGTGTAGGGCTTTACATTTAACTCATTTGGAGGGCACATTTCTCTAGAGATAATTCCTGAGAGCTTTTCAGCAGTTTTGTTGCTCCACTTGTATTTAATCAGGGGTAAAGTCATTAAAGTAAAGAATGTCACCATAAAAAATCATTAGATATATTCTAACATTACCTATTTTTTAGGCTTTGATGAAAAAGGATACCCCTGTCACCTTAAAATTGTTCACTTTATGGGCTGGTTCAAATTGAATATAGGATAATTAGAATTTTCATTTGTAGTTAAGTTTAATTATTTCAACTCTTTTGACCTGCAAGAAATTTCTATTGTTGTTCTATGGTATATTTCCAGTACTTAGCTCATTTCCTAAATGGAGAAGGTTGAAATTATCTAAACCATAATACAACTTTTCTTTCTGCCCCCAAAGGCTCTGAAAACTGCCTTCTTACACACCAAAAAATAGATTCTAATTGCTACAGTCCTAACCTCAAAAATTCTTAAGCATACAGTGATAGTTGTTGATAATTTTACTCTAGTTGCAAAAGTAGAGTTGTTCTCTTATATATAATTTTATTCTGTGGAATTTAAATGCTAAAATGTATGTATAAAATTTATCTGGATTTTTAGTAAGACTAGAGAGCAATGTAGTATTACATTTAAAAAATAATCAAAGGCAACTATGGCAATTGTCAGTAGGACTTTTTTCCACAAGAGGCAAGGGCACTCACTGTCTTTCCCCTGTGCTTGGATATTTGGCTCATTTAGAAAGAAGTGCATGTAATTTTGAATTTTGAAGGAGTGTAGACTGTGAAAAAAAATCAGAGAGTGTTTTTCTTAATTTGTGTAACATAACTGATTTTACACAAATTTAAATAGGGCATCTACAAGTAACTATTTTGATAGTTTATTCAAGAAACCTTTATTGTTGTTAATGTACCAGGCTCACGATATTTAGTATGAGTTTGGTAATTTTCTTCCTTTCTGAAAAATAAATTCAAAATGGACTTCACTAGCAAATACTCAATAAATATTTGTTGATGCATGAGTCAGCGAATGAATGAGTTGATTCTCTGCAAAGTATAGATTTTTTTCCAAATGATCCAGTGACTGACAAGCTCTATCTATGGGCCTGGCTGAAAAGCCTTTGGTTGAAAAGCTCAGGGACTAAGCATAACGTAATGGTTAAGACTATGGAGTTAAAATTGATGGGCAGTTTTATAAACTCTCTAGATTTCAGCTTCCTTGACTGGAAAGTGGTGAAATGGGATTCCTCCTTTATATTGTTGTAAATGGTAAATGAGATCATGTTGAGTAAGGACACATAGTAGGGACTGCCAGATGTAAATGCTTAAGGAATGGTAGGAGCTCTGGTTTTGATGGTGCCCTTTGTGGTTAGTTTTTTTGTGAAAAAAAAAACACTTTCTTTTACTTACTTTTGTTTGATGGGTAGAGGCACACCCAGTGTACCTGTGGAGATGGAGAGCATTAGCTTCAAATTGAGCTCCAACTAACATCCTTAAAAAAAAGCATCAGCAAACTCTATGCCAAGAAGTTCTCAACCACTCACCGTTCCTGATGATTGAAAATCCTTTTATTTTTCACTTTCCGTGAAAGTATAATTTCCGTTTAAGGTGTCCTCCCTTGTTTTCCCCCTGCTGAGCTGTGGAGTTTCTTGGCCCTGGGTGCACGGAGCCGGCCACTTCTGTTCAGATGTGGGGCGGCACTGCTGGCGCCTGGGGCCCAGCTCTCAGTGTGTGCTGTGCCAGTGCAGCTGCTGGTTCCACTGAAAGCTGACTTGGGTAAAATACAAGGCCTGGAACACGGTGCAGAACGTGAGACTTTGATGAGGTGAAAGGGGTATGTTTAACAAAAAAACCCCCAAAAAACCCACAAGAAGGTTTTGAAGCATCACCAAATAGGAGAGCATTTTCTGTGGCTGTACTTATCAAGTAGACCATTCACATTTCATTTGTGGTTTACATTTTCCTCTTGGTAGGCAACAAAAATGTACAGGATGGCAGAAACTATTTCTAACCTAAATAATTTCATTATTGTCTAGTGTTTGGAGAAATGTTGTTATTGTTTTTTTTTTTTACTTTACCTAAACAGCAGATGATTTTTTTTTCTTTGATAGATGCAAGGTTCTCTACCTTCTATCTCTGATTATATGCCTCAGAACTTTGCACAGTTAAATTGGTGCTACAGGTATCCACTGATGAGTTAATCAGGAATACTATGGGAGGGGGGCAGGGAGTTGGTCTATATTTACTGATAATTTTTGATCCAAAACCTTTTTACTAGTGGTAGTTTTGTTGTTTTTTTTTTGTCCCTCAATGATAAATTGTGGAAAACCATTTGCATTATAGAAGTACTAGAGGCCCGGTGCACAAAATTTTTGCATGGGGGTGGGGGGAGTCCCTCAGCCCAGCTTGCACCCTCTTGTAATCTGGGACCCCTCGGGGGATGTCCGTCTGCAGGGATTGGGTCTAAACCAGCAGTCAGACATCCCTCTCGCAATCTGGGACCACTGGCTCCTAACCACTTGCCTGCCTGCCTGCCTGATCACCCCTAAACACTCGCCTGCCTGCCTCATCGCCCCTAACCACTCTGCCTGCCTGCTTGATTGCCCCTAACCACTCGCCTGCCTGCCTGATTGCCCCTAACCTCCCCGCCACCGTGTCTTCATCCAGAAGGACATCTGGAATGATGTCCGGAAGGTCGTTTGGCTCGCTGGTCTAATTAGCATATTATGCTTTTATTATTATAAATAATATAGATTATCTGCATATAGATTTTAATAGTTGTTTTTCCAAGTGCTTTCTTAAAATATTTTTTTTTAATCAGGCCAAGATTGTGCAGTACATTAAAGGAATTCTTAAAAAGCTTAAAAAACTTATTAGATGACCTCAGTATGGTCCCATTTAACATACCCTTGGGAACATGTGCATGAAATACATTGTGGTTTGAGGTTTTCCAACCCAAATAAACTTAAAAAGAAAATGCAGCTTTTAATAGAAACTATTCAAATTCCTGCAAAAATAGGTATGGATTTCACCACTGAGAGGGTTTAAAAGCATCAGTATCAACCATGAGAATCTAAAGAGAATGTGTTATCTTGCTTTCTGTATTTTGCTTAAGACTGCATGTTTGGCGATTCTAGTGTATTACTATCTTTGAATGAACTGCTCAATGAATTATATATATATATATATATTATATATATATACTGAATCTCTGATTCATATTATCTTTCCTTGATACTGTGACCTCTGTTTGGGCAAAGGGTGTTATTTAGCAGAGCCTTCCCGTTTGTACCACACACGTTGAACACATCAGGTGTAAGACATCACCCTGCAGCATCACTTCGGAGAACTATTGGGAGGGAACTCTCAGAACTGAAATATCACAGCTGGCCCTGACTTTAACGAGTGCCAAACACCTGCAGGCTCTAAAAGGAACCAAAACAAAACCCCACCCCGTGGCAGCGCGCCATCCCCCAACAACCCTTCCTGAGCTGCGCATCACCATCAGAGTTAATTTAACATTTTCTACAGAAACCTTATTCTTTCTGTCCCAGAAGGCCATGACAACTGCT